AAGTATTTAATTTTTTTGGTGGCTATTGTAAATGGTATTGATTTTTGTATTTCTTTTTCAGCAATCTCTTTGCTGGTGTAGAGGAATCCAACTGATTTTTGGATGTTGATCGTGTATCCTACCATGATGCTAAATCTCTCAATGTGTTCCAGTAGATTTTTGACTGAGTCTCTTGGGTTTTCTAGGTATAGGATCATATCATCAGCAAATAGGGATAGTTTGACTTTCTCCTGACCAATTCAGATGCCTTTGATTTCCCTCTCTTGCCTTATTGCTGCTAAGACTTCCAATACAATGTTGAATAGCAATGGTGATAGAGGGCATCCTTGTCTGGTTCCTGTTCGCAAGGGGAATGGTTTCAGTCTCTCTCCATTGAGAATAATGTTGGCTGTTGGTTTTGTATAGATGCCCTTTATTATGTTGAGGAATGTCCCTTCTATTCCTATTTTGCTGAGAGTTTTGATGGAATGGGTGTTGGATTTTATCAAATGCCTTTTCTTCATCAATTGAAATAATCATGTGGGTCTTCCCCTTTATTTATGTGGTGGACGACGTTGTTTGTTTTTCTAATGTTGAACCATCTGTGCATACCCATTATGAACCCCACTTGGTCATAATGAATGATTTTCTTGATATGTAGTTGGAGTCTATTGGCTAGGATTTTGTTGAAGATTTTTGCATCTGTATTCATGAGGGATATTGGTCTGTAGTTTTCCTTTTGAATGATGTCTTTGCCTGGTTTTGGTATCAAGGTTATACTTGCTTCATAAAATGAGTTAGGGAGTTCTGTGTTTTGGAATAGTTTGAGTGGGATTGGTGTCAGTTCTTCTCTGCATGTTCAGTGGAAATCTCTGGTGAAACCATCTGGCCCAGGACTTCTTTGTTGGTAATTTTTTTATGACCTGTTCAATTTTTCTTTTGTTATGGATCTGTTCAACTTTTCCACATCAGTCTGTGTTAGTGTAAGTAAGTGGTGTGTTTCTAGAAATCTATCCATTTCCTCCAGATTTTCAAATTTGTTGGAGTATAGTTCTTCATAGTATCCTGATATTATCCTTTTAATTTCATATGGTTCTGTTGTGTTGTCACACATTTCGTTTCTTATTCATGTTATTTGTATCCCCCCCCCCTTTTCCTTTGTGAAATTTGTCAGTAGTTTGTCAAATTTTACAAATCTTTTCAAAAAACCAACTTCTGGTCTTGTTGATTTTTGCTGTTGTCTTTCTATTTTCTGTTTCATTGATTTCTGCTTAAATCTTGATTATTTCCTTTCTTCTGGTGTCTGTAGGCTTTTCTTGCTGTTTTTTTTCTAATTGTTGAAGATTTAGTTTAAAGTGTTGATTTTGGCTCTTCCTTTGTTCTTGATGTGTACATTTATCGGTATAAATTGGCCTCTGATCACTGCTTTTGCTTTGTCTCAAAGATTTTGGTATGTAGTGTTTTCATTCTCATTTGATTGAAGGAAGTTTTGCATTTCAATTTTTATTTCTTCTCTTACCCAGTCTTTCACAAGGAGGGTGGTGTTCAGTTTCTATGTGTTTACTCTTTTTCCATTGATCTTTCTATTGTTGATTTCTAATTGGATAGCATTATGATCTGAGAAGATGCTTTGTAGTTATTTCAATGTTTTGAAATTTATTGGCTTGCTTTATGGCCTAACATATGGTCAATCATGGAAAATGTTCCATGTGCACTGGAAAAGAAAGTATATTGTGCTGTTGTTGGGTAAAGTGCTCTGTAGATGTCTATAAGGTCAAGTTGGTGGATTGTATTGTTTAGCTCTTCTGCATCTTTGTTGCGTTTCTTTCCAGTTGTTCTAGCTCATTGAAAGTTGTGGTAACGTCTCCCACTATGACTGTGGAGTCATCTATTTGCCTTTTCAATTCTGTTAAAGTCTGATTTATGTATTATGGGGCTCTTTCATTGGGGTCATATTTATTATGGTTATATCTTCTTGTTCAGTTGATCTTTTAATCATTATATAATGTCCTTCCTTGTCTTGTAAGTTGGTTTTTGTCTTAAAGTCAATTTAATCAGACATTAATACTGCAACTCCTGCTCTTTTACAGTTGCAATTTGCTTGATATATCTTTTTCCAACCTTTGATTTTTAGTCTATTTTTGTCTGTGTCTCTAAGATGTATCTCTTGTAGACAGCGTATTGATGGGTTTTGTTTTTTTATCCAATCTGCAACTCTCCATCTCTTGAGTGGTGCATATAATCCATTAACATTAAGTGCAATTAGTGACAAGTATGAATTGGTTGCAGTCATTTTGGTATGTGATTTTTCATGGTGTCCCTAGTTTCTTTGTTCCATATTCTTTTCTGTGCTGAGCTCATTATGTTTATGAATTTTGTTATCATTTCCTTTGTTACTCTTGTTTTTGTATTTGCTGAATATTTGTG